TTTATTTATTTTTGTTCACTTTATATCCTGGTTGTAGCCCCATTCGTTCTCCCTTCCCTATCTCACCCTCTTTTATTCCCTCTTCTCTCTCGCCTATTCCTCAGAAAAGGGGAGCTGCCTTTCCTGTCCACCCCAGATCATCAAGTTGCATCAGGACTGAGAATGCCTTCTTCCCCTGTGGCCTGGTAAGGCAATCCAGCCAGGGGGAAGTGATAAAAAAAACTGGCAAGTGAGTCCTTCTCCAATGCAGGCCTTACTTCCCCTACTAGGAAATCCACATGAAGCCTAATCTGCCTATCTGCTACATCTTTGTAGGGAGCCTAGGTCCAGTTCATGCATGGTCCTTGGTTGATGCTTCAGTCTCAGCAAGCCCCTCTGGGCAGTTGGTCTTCTTGTAGAGCTCCTGTCCTCTCCAGTTCTTTCTATCTTTCCCCCACTCTTCTGCAAGTCTCCCAGCATCCCACCCAGTGTTTGGCTGTGAGTTTCAGCATCTGTTTCAATCTGTTGCTGGGTGGAAGAGTTGAGTTGGGAGTATGGAATATTGGGGTGGGGAGGAGTATTTGGTATTGGTAATATTCCTATATCTGGCTTAAAGTTGGTTCAAGGAGAATTCACTTATGTTGAATAGTAAAGAGATGTCATATTTGTTGTAGGGGCTGCTGATGTAGAGATAATATATTCATACAGAAATATTTATTTTAAACCAGCAATGATACAGACTTTGGGGCATGTGAACAAGACAGGTAGCTTTGTGAGAGTGACGATCCTCTAGTTTCCAGTGTCTCTGTGGGCTGTAGTTTACTTCATCAACTTTGCTCCTGTTGGATGCCTTAAGAGTCATCCTGTGTACCACAATTCTGTACCCATTCCTCCACTGAGGGACATCTGGGTTGTTTCCAGCTTCTGGCTATTACAAATAAAGCTATTATGGTTGAGCAAATGTCTTTGTTGTGTACTTGAGTATATTTTGGATATTTGCCTAGGAGTGGTATAGCTGGATCTTGAGGAAGTGCTATTCCTAATTGTCTGAGAAAGTGCCAGATTGATTTCCAAAGTGGTGTACAAGTTTACATTCCCACCAGCAATGGAAGAAGATTCCCCTTTCTCCAGCATGTGTTGTCACTTGAGCTTTTGATCTTAGCCATTCTGATAGGTATAAGGTGAAATCTCAGGGACATTTTGATTTGCATTTCCCTGATGACTAAGGACTTTGAACATATCTTTAAGTGTTTCTCTGCCATTCTATATTCCTTTACAGAGAAGTCTCTGTTTAGCTTGGTACCCTGTTTTTAAATTGGATTACTTGATTTGTTGCTTTTTAACTTCTTGAATTCTTTATATATTCTAGATATTAGCCCTTTGTCAGATATAGAGTTTGTGAAGATCCTTTCCCAGGCTGTAGGCTGTGGTATATTTACACAATGGAATACTACTCAGCAATTAAAATAAAGGAAATAATGAAATTTGCAGGCAAATGGTAGAATCTAGAAAAGATCATCCTGAGTGAGGTATCTCGGAAGCAGAAAGACACACAGGGTATACTGACTTATAAGTGGATATTAGACATATATTATAGGATAAACATACTAAAATCTGTAGACCCAAAAAAGCTAAGCAAGAAGGAGGACCCTGGGTAAGATGATCAGTCCTCACTCAGAAAGACAAATGGGATGGACATTGGAAGAAGGAGAAAACAGGGACAGGAGCCTACCACAGAGGGCTTCTGAAAGACTCTACCCAGCAGTGTATCAAAGCAGATGCTGAGACTCATAATCAAACTTTGGACAGAGTGCAGGGAATCTTATGAAAGAAGGGGGAGATAATAAGACCTGAAGAGGATAGGAGCTCCACAAGGAAAGCAACAGAATCAAAGAATTTGGGTCCAAGGCTCTTTTCTGAGACTGGTACTCCAAACAAGGACCATTAATGGATATAACCTGAAATCCCTGCACAGATGTAGCCATGGCAGCTCAGTATCCAAGTGGGTACCCTAGTAAGGGGAACAGGGACTGTCTCTGATATGAACTCAGTGGCTGACTCTTTGCTCACCTCTCCCTGTAGGGGGAGCAGCCTTACCAGGCCACAGAGGAGGACAATGCAGCCAGTCCTGATGAGACCTGATAGGCCAGGATCAGATGGACTTGGAGAGGGGCATGTGAGGAGACAAGAGAGGGAAGGTGGAATTGGGAGAGAATGAAGGAGGGTCCTACATCTGGGGTGCAAAATGAATAAACTCTAATTAATATAAAAGTAAAAATTTAATTAAAAAAGGAGTCATCCTGTTACCTCATCTAGGTTTCTTTGCCACCTTTAGAAGGTGGTAACTTTGAAACCCACACAAGTCTTATGTACGGCATGTGAAATGTGATAGTCTTTTAGGGAAGACCAACCCCATGCTATCGGGTATGTCTTTCTGAACACTTTTCTTTTTCTTAACTCTCAGGGCGCATGCAAGCTGTATGTGTGTGTGTGTGTGTGTGTGTGTGTGTGTGTGTGTGTGTGTATGTGTGTGTGTTATAAAAATCTACCTTTAGTATCCTTTCTTCAAGATAGAATCTTTCATTCTCCTGAAAAGAATAATAGAAAAGGGAATTAGCAAATGAGATTAAGGGCCCCTTGAAGCTCAAGTGAAATAGATGAACTTCCAAAGCATACTCTTAGACACAGACTGGATGGCACCTCCGCTGTCTCTGAGACAGGGAGTGCAGTTGTGCTGAATAAAAGAGGGCTTCACCAGGCTACCTGCTGTGAGTGGGATTAGCCAGTAGGGAAGTTCTTTCTCTTCAGGAGACAGACCACTTAGCTGAAGAGTTCTTAATTCAGGAAGGAATAGCCCTGTTTCCTTGGTGGCTGTGGCCCTTTACCTGGAAAAATAAAAAAGGAAAGCTGAGTGAAAAAAGGGAGCACGTGAAAGCAGCCAAGAGAGCTTCTAAATTGGTTATCTCAGCCAATTAAAGAGCAGGATAGGATTGGTTGGGAAGCATCCTGCTGAGCTGGGAGAAGTAGGCCCGTGAGTAATGACGAAAGGCTGGAAGACAAAGAGGGAGGCTGAAATGAATAAGAGATCTGCTTTCCTCAGCGTCTATAATTCAATACACTTAAATAGGATGTTGGTTCAGTTAGCAGTTAGCATCATTTCAGGGGGTCATTTTTATTTGGGTCCCATCAGCATTAGAGTGAATCCTGGTCTGCAATTACGAACCCACATTGATGTGAAGTAATTGGCTCATCCCTTACTTGGAAGAAGTGACTTGTAAAGTAAATCACCCGGTTAATTTATCCATTGATTACAAATCACAGGGCAGGACGGTGTGGCACCTTTCCTTTTAAAGGTCATCATCACAGGCTATAACAAAAGACAGATTAAGAAGAGGAAAAGCAAAGCAGAGTTACCTAATCAAAGTATTGTATGACAATGAAACCTTCAGAAATAAAGAATCAAAGGTAAAATGTTCCCTTTTCGTAGACAGTCAGGTGGAAATATGATCAAAAAGGGTATGAGCTCATGAGTGGGGAAACTTAGCAAGGCTTGTCTGTTCAGCTCCCTTATGGCTTTTCTGTGTGTCTTTCCTTCCCCTTGGATGTGGGATATGGGTTGGGAAGTTCTCTGAGCAAAAAGAAAAAAGGGAGAATGACCTTTCTAGTTTTTATGGCTTACTTTGACAAAGTTCTGTTCTTTTTGGTGTGTGACTCATAAACCCAGTGACACACCATTGGCAAAAACTGATATTTCCTTTCCTAGCAGGTAGCAATTGAAAATAGCTTCTTGGTTAGGGTGGGACTTTGTGTCCACTTCTCCTTCCCAAAAGGCACCATGCTGTAGAGCTGTTGTTCTCAACTTCCCAATGCTGCAACCCTTTAATACAGTTCCTCAGGTTGTGGTGATCCCCCAACCATAAAATTATTTCATTGCCACTTCACATTTCCATACTCTTAGAAATTGTTATGTAAATATCTGATATGCAAGATATCTGAAATTTTATCCCCAAAGGGGTTGCAACCCGCACGTTGAGGCCCACCCCTTTAGAGTATCATTTTGAGATGCCCTGCAATATTACTTGAGGCTCTCATGAGTTCTGGGCATTGAGGATATCACAAAACCCCCCAAAAAAGAACCTCCCTCTGCAGGGTGTTTGTGCCCTTGCAGTAAGGACAGTGTTGAGCTGGGATTCGCTTTGCTTCAGTGCTCAGGAGATAGATAAGAAGGGTCAGGTTATGTTTGTGGCAGGGAGATAAGCTAAGCCAGGTGGGTCATTTGGGTATACTTAGAAAAAGAAAAAAAATTCTGTCAGTATCCAGCCATTTTATCTGGATAGGTGCTTCTTATAAATTTCCAAGAGCAAAAGGTCATGGATTGTCCTGCTTCATCTAGCCAGGGAAAGCAGAATAACGTGAAGCTAACTGGCCTGACCAGAACTGTGTCCTTGGCCCTGTTAGCTCAATGTCTTTATCAAGCAATTAACTATCCACAGGCTCAAGATTGATATGGACAGCTTAATCAAGATCAATCATCAGGGTATTTACTCTGGTTATTTAAGATAAGGAACTGGAAAACAATCCATAGATTTTGTATTGTTTACAGTTATCTCAGTATTTGCTACCCAAGGTGCATAGCAACTGTACTGTTACACCTTTACAAGCACACAAAAGAACAAAACACCCACATCAAACAAGTAGGAATAGAACTAGATTTTATCTTAAAGTGGAACTGTCAGGTTTAGACAAGTAACAGGCTAATCATACCATGTAGAAAAGCTTTTAACAAAGATCCCCATTATCTATTATCTGCTTATCATCTATCTATCTATCTATCTATCTATCTATCTATCTATCTATCTATC